AGTCCAAGGCTTCACCAACTGAGCCACCCAGGCAATGATTTTGTCTGATTTTTAAAAAGTTGTTTCAGATGGACAAGCAAATCTGGTTCATTTCTTCATCTTGCTCAAAAGTTTAAGTGGGAAGTGGCGAATGGGGGGTGTTTAGGCCAGGGTTTTTGATACCTTTGTAAGGACAGAGACAAGGCTGTATTAGCCCCATACTGGAAATAACCCAAATGTCCATCAACGGAAAGTAGCAAAATAGAGAGTGATATATTAATATAAAGAATATATACTGTAATGAAAATGCAAGAACTATAACTTAATGTAACAACAAAGATAAATCTCACAAACATGTGAAGTCCAAGAAACCAGACACAAATGAGTATATCCTATGGGATTCCATTTAGATAACAGTTTAATACTGGCAAAATTAAGGTATGGTGTTGGAAATGAGGATAGGATAGTGGTTACCCTTGGGGGGGAAGATACTTAGTAGATGGGGACACGCAAGGCCTTCTGGGATTCTGGTAATACTGTTTCTTGATCTGGGTACAGGTTACATGGGTGTTTCACTCTGAGAAAGTTCATTGAGCTGTATACTTATGTGTGACTTCACTATATGTGTGTCATGCATCAATAAAAAGTACTCTTCTTCACCCTCTAAAAGAAGGACAAGGTTGTAAGCCAAATATACGGTGGGAAGGTAGAACTAGATTCCCAGTGGAGAACCTGAAACTGAGAAAAAACTATGCAAAGGATCCTGGATCACCTGTTCCAGGCCAAGGGTAGAAATGGGCACTCATGATCGATCCTGTGCAATGTGTGGATGCAGTAGGCTCAAGTTCAATTCTAAGTGATGCAGAAACCCTGCCCCGAGATACCAAAGTAAAAACTGGTTTGAAACCAGCAAACCATGTAGACCCTGTCAGAGCTACCCCACTTGGAAGACTCTACCACTCAGGCCACTTTTGACACTCTGGGCAAACTGGCTATTGATCATATTTTGAAAACTACAGATTGGTTTACATCGGCCAAGGCCAGGGCACCCACCAGCTTCATTTCTCTGTGTGGCAGGCAAAGTTAGTACATTTCTTGCTTTAGGACATAGTTTGGTTGACTGGAAGAGTTTTTATATGAAGAAGAGCTTCTCTACATGTGCCATTCCTCTGTTAGACTGTAGCCTTGACAGGAGGGAATTCGCCTTCCCATCATTGTATCTCCAGTCCATAGAGTAATGTTTAGTGTACATTTGGAGTTCAAAAATGATTGTTCCAAAAAAAAGGATTGTTCAGTAAAGGAATGCTAAGTAGTGTGGAGCACCACTGTGTGCTCAGCATAGTGTTGTGTGATTTTGTGTGTGATTTCATGGATATTCTTTTATTGTTTTCGCTAAACATTTCGAGCAGTTTGTAACAAGGGGCTTTGTCACTTGTGTTACATAAATTGAGACTGTATTCTCCAAAGTAGGAGTTTTGTATCCTAGGGTATACTCCACAAGAGGACTCAATGGGATAGGGAAAGAAAACATTGGAAGGTGGAGGGAGGAGAGATAGATGTGGGGGGAAACACAAAAGAGAACTTTTTTTTAAAGGTCCTGTGAGTTCAAGTCATTCTGAGTAGAAATTTCAGATATAGTATTTACCAGTTCTCTTCATCATAAACCTGAGAGGACTTCATTGTTTGGTGAGTCAGAATGAGTCTGATAAAATACTGCATTCTTGATATGAAAAGCTCTCCAAAGGATAAGAGGTCTGTCTGTATTAGTGTTTAAAATGTCTTAATGAAGAAGGAGAAGGGGAGGCGGGGAATAGGATCAATACTAGGCTATTTAACACTGTTTAAGTTATCCTTGCTGTACTTAACCTAAAGACTTGACGAATGCAATGAGTTAGCGGGTTGGAGTACTCTGTATTGGTCATAAGGTTGTGCATGTTTTGATAAGCTTAATAGAACTTAATGATTGTGCAGTGGGAAGAGAATAAAAAAATTCTGGGATTTTAGGTTGCCTTATTTTATCCTCCATGTCTCAAACTGTTTCATGATTCCAGTGTCTTTGCTTCTCATTCTCTCCGTGCCACATTCTGGATAATTTCTTCAAATCTAGATTCCAGTTCTCTCTTAAACTGCATATGCAATCTTCTGTTTTACCTGTCTGTTGAGTTTTTATGCCAACAATCATAATTTGTATTTCTAGACATCGCATGTTGTCTTCATATATGATGGTCTTTCTCATCCTTTCTCTTGGGTTTTGTGCAACAACACAGGTAGTTTGCATTACGGGTTCCAAACCTGTGTGGTCACGTGTTCTCCTCCAAGGCTTTCCTTTTTATTCCACTTCATTGAGGGGTGGATCCAAGAAGGCAGCATCCTCATCCTCCCTCTGTGGGCCAACATTTTTCTACTTTGCCTTTCAGGGATTCCATATTTATACAAGGTTGTCAGAACAGAGTTCCCATCATTCTTGTCTCAGGCTTGTCTCCATCTCGAGATTACCAGGGACCAGCAGATGGCCCTGAGGCAAAAGCATCCAGCACTCACTCACTCAGAGATTTCTCCTCATTTCTGACCTGGGAGGTTTCCCTTATTTTCTTGACAGTTCAGTCATGTATTTAAAAACATGCCTTCAGGGGCACCTGGGTGGCTCAGCCGGTTAAGCATTCGACTTCGACTCAGGTCATGATCTCACAGTTTGTGGCTTCAAGCCCCGTGTCGGGCTCTGTGCTAACTGCCAGCTCAGAGCCTGGAGTCTGCTTCAGATTCTGTGTCTCCCTCTCTCTCTCTGACCATCCCCTGCTCACGCTGTCTCTCTCTCTCTCTCTCTCTTTCTCTCTCTCTCTCTCTCTCTCTCAGAAAACAAAACAAAAAAACAACCACAAAAACCATGCCTTCAGTGCCCTTGTATCAGACATTAAAAACATTATGTAAGAGAGAGCAAGAGAGAGGGAGAGCGCTTTATGCATTTTTTTAAAAGTCTGGAAAGATGAACAAGAAACTAATAATGCTGAGATGTGGTGATGAAAACATGGCCAATGGCGGATGGGATGACAGGGAGACTTATGTGAATATTTTAATACCCTCAGTGATTTGAACCACGTGGGTATTAGTGGTTCAATCAATTAAATATATTATAAACTTTTTTCCTCTGGCAGTCGATATGTTCTGTATTGGGTGGGTTTCCTCAGACATCTAGCCTTGTTAGATACGGAATAGTGGTCATTTTTGTGGTTATATAAATTTTAGATCATGGTCCAGCCTCTATCCAACCTCTAGATGAACTTGGTAGATGAATATTTTCCAAACTATCTATGGCAAAGGATCAGCTCTTTAAAATTTTTCCAGTCTGGCATAGACTAATACTCTAGTAAACTACCATAAAAATAAATACTGGGGGCGCCTGGGTAGCTCAGTCAGTTGAGTGTCTGGCTCTTGATCTCCACTCAGGCCTTCATCCCAGGGTTGTCAGTTAAGCCCTGTTTTGGGAGCCTGCTAACTAACTACATACATACATACATACATACTGATCACATGCTTGGATGGCATGGAAAGGTCAAAGTGCTGTAAACATTTCTAAATGCTTCTCTCAATTTCTTCTCATCACAGACCAGTAAAAAGCCACTTATTCACTGACCACACTGAGCAGCACTTCTGGAAATGGTGCCCCATTATTCACCAGCATTTGGGGGCTGTGGATCAGAAGTTGATATCACCTTATTCTTTAAAAAATCTTTTGTTGGTTTAAATTTTTTCCATTGTAGGTAACCTGTTTTCTTTCGGTAAAATGTTTTATGGCTTCATCTGAAACATTAGATGTTCACTGTGGCACATCCCTGTCTTTAATTAGCTAAGAGGGAGCCCATGGCTAACTGTTCTGGATGATGGTAGCAGTGTACTTCCAGAAGTCATTCATAGATCAGTTGTGTATTTCATCAAATCGAAGATGCATTGATGCTGATGTTTTCTTCATCTTCTAGAAGGTTTCATGGGTAGGGTTTCATGCTACTAATTTAGGACTGCCATCTGGCTGCCACCAATTATAAGATGCCGTCGATTTCAGAGATGTTAAAATGTGGAAGAACGTGTGTCTTAAAATACCTTGCACATGGCCCCCGATTGTTCTAACCTGTAATTACTGTTGAGTGCTTGGAAAAGGAGGGACCAAGACTTTGGTGACTTCCTTTAGAAACATCACCACCCTCCCAAAGGGCGTTTCTTCTCTTTGTTGCAACATCATGAACATTAACTAGGACAAATTCTCTCTTTAATTGGCATGGCTTCCCTCCTCAGGAGCCCTTGGGATGGGCCAGCACTGAGAACCTTGGCCAACTTATCTGTGAATTGGTGGCACTGGTGTATCTTCCATTGTCATTACTAGACATTTTTCTCATCGTTGAGATTTTGTTCCCCTTACTTTCAAATTCCTTCTGTTCCATCCCTGCCATTCTGAGCTTGTGAATATTGGGAGTTCTGCTAGTTATCCCATTTTCATGCCTCTCCTGCTGGTATCCTAGTGCTGCTTTCAATCATGTGTTATGTGGACTGCTTGTTATAGAAATATCTCAGATTTTTCTGGTTACACTTCTCTTTTTCTGGGGAAGATAGGGATTCCCCCCCCCCCCACACACACACACACTGTTTTCATAGTTCTTGGTCTACTTGGATAGCTATTTGGGAGGAAGGGCAGGTAATGTGTAGGCTAACACTATAATTCATTTCTTCACCATGTATTTATTGAATGCCTACTCTCTGCCAGGCATAGTTCTCTAAGCACTGTGAGTACAGCAATAAACAACACTCTTAAGATTCAGCTTCCGTTGGAACATTCTTTCTGCTTAAATCTGGATTTCCTAAACTGGATGCTTACCTGGTTACTTTCCTTCATTTTCAGACAGCCCTTTAAAAAGATGTCAGTTAAAATTAACTTAGAATTTAGTAATTTCTTGATAGCTTGACGCATGCTTTATACAGATTTGACACTATTATGTTCTCCAGAAATAATGTATATATCATTTGCTTTTTAGCCGATTACACCTCAACAAGAAGGCAACGGACAAACAGCCATATAGCAAGCTCCCGGGTGTGTCTCTTCTGAAACCTTTGAAAGGAGTGGATCCTAACCTAATCAACAACTTGGAGACATTCTTCGAATTGGATTACCCCAAAGTAAGTACAGCCATGTACTCATTAGAAATGGATGAGAACATGTTTGTTTGGTGTGTGTGCGCGCACATGTGTACACATACGCTTCTCCCCCATGGTTAACACTTCAAGAAAGGCATTTTGACACTGTAAAAAGGTGAAGGTATTAAACGTTAATGGTGATCTCAGCCTCATCCAGTTTATGCTGTAATAGCAGTAGTCACAGGACAGAAATGGGGTTGAGGAAGAGAGAGGTGCAGATTCCTCTTTGTAACCACCTGCTTGTCCATCTGAATTCGAAATCCATGAGTAAATCTCCTAGAACTCAAACATGGTTAAGTACCTGGTAGTTTGAATATAAAAATCTTGTTCCATGAGAGTTGTGCGTGAATGACAGGAAGAAGAGGCAGTGAGAGTGAAAAAGCAGCATTGAGTGGTCTGAAATGGGATTCAGGACAGCTAGAAGTAAACATAAATCCCCTTGAAAATCTGGCTTTTGAGCCAAGAATAGGTTACAGTTAGTGATAACTTGGGTCTTCCTCATATCTAATTTCTAATTTCTTTATCTTTCTGGGTTTTAATGCCCAGTTGTTTTGTTCCTATCATTTATCGATACAGTTTGTAGATCTGTGAACACAACCTGCATCTTCATTGGAGAACTCCCAGTTTTGTTGGGATGAGAGTATTCTTCTTGTCCCTTCCCTTTAATATTCCACCTGTAGTTTCTTTGTTTTAAGTTCGTTTATTTATTTTGAGAGTGAGAGAGCACATGAACAGGGGAGAGGCAGAGAGAGGGAGAGAGAGAATCCCAAGCAGGCACCATGCTGTCAGTGTGGACCTGGAGGAACTCAGTGCGGTTCTTGATCCCACAGACCATGAGGTTAAGACCTGAGCCCAAATCAAGAGTCAGATGCTTAACCAACTGAGCTACCCAGGTGCCCCCCTCTGCCTGTAGTTTCATAGGAGAACTTAACTATTCCTTCATTTATGTATTTAGCTTTATTGCAGCTTTTTAAATTGCTGTTTGAAACACTGCTTTTGAATGTTCTTTACATATCTACCTACTTGATTTTAAGTCCATGCGAGTTTTCCCTCCATGGTATCTATTCACTTGTCTCAATTTTTACCCTCACTATCTCATCTTTTCCATAGTTTTTGCCACTTGGAGGCTCTTCCCCTCCTATTTCTTTAGGACAGTGTATCCCAAGTAATGAGAAGGAAGATAAAACACACATCACACCATGGTAACTGGTTTTCACGCTCTTATTTCCTTTCTTTTTGCTTTTATTTTTCTCGGTAGCATCAATGAAAAGAATAGAGAAGACAGACGCAATAGCCTTAATGCAGTTCTTCTTAAGTATGTAGACACAAGTATAATTCAGTTATTTTTTAAAGTTATTTTTATATTATTGCTTTTAAACTTTGGAAGTCTAGATATTTGAAGCTACTTTGAAGCAAAACCATTATGTATTTTTCTTATAATTTGTGTGTTATATATGTATTTAATAATTTTAGAGATCTGAATTGTGCATGTATTGTGTATCCAATAAGTTGAATATGTAATTTAAAAAAAATAAGATCTATACTTTATTTTTTTCCCAACTAGAAGTGCAAAAAGTGGCCTTTTGTAATTTAGCAAGAACGACATAAATAAAATTAATTGTAAAATAAGCTTTGCAATAAGAAAAGTGGAAGGTTTTTTCAGGGGTGCCTAGGTGGCTCAGTCGATTGAGCGTGTGACTTCAGCTCAGGCCATGCTTTCACAGCTTGTGAGTTTGAGCCCCACATCGGGCTTGCTGATATCAGTGCAGAGCCTGCTTCGAATCCCCTGTCCCCCTTTCTCTGCCCTTCCCCCTCTTGTGCTCTCAAAATAAATGTTAAAAAAAGAAATTAAAATGGAAGGTTATTAAGTCCCACACTGTATAAGTATATGCAGAGAGAGGTTTTTTTATTAATTTTTTAAAGTTTATTTATTTATTGAGAGCGAGTGTCAGCAGTGTACGGGCAGGGAAAGAGGAACAGAGAGAGAATCCCAAGCAGGCTCTGCATCGGCAGTGCAGAGCCCGATGAGGGACTGAAACCCACAAACTGTGAGATCATGACCCGAGCTGAGACCAGGAGTCTGTCACCTAACCAACCAAACCACCCAGGCGCAAAAAAATTTTTTTTTAATAAATGAAAGAATATTTTCATTGATTATTATTAAACCTCAGAACAGCTTAGTATCATGCATCTATCCTTGTGAAACTTAATGTCACATTTCAATTTTTTAATCCTCATCCGGTCCTTTCCCCATTCAGCCACTCTCAGAACTAAGTTATGGACCTTCTGTGTTGCAGCCCTTGTGAGATGACAGTCATGGAATTTAATTGGTTGTGGAAGTTAGTGTGGGTTTTAGTTGTAAAAAGAGTTTCTAGAAATAACCCAGGAACATATGTATCCATTAATTCTGAACATTTGGGATAAGTCAATAATTGATTTCTTCTTCTGAATGATTTTTTTTTTTATTACAATGTGGGATTATTCAAGAGCTCTTGTTTTTGCTTCTTTTTCCACAAGTTATGCCCTTGAGGTGTTTAAATTCGTCAAGGAGAAAACTATATTGATACTTACTGCAAAATGAGGAACCCCAAATATAAGAGATTGTTTTTATTTTTTTTAATTTTTATTTACTAATTATAAAAGTACAGTTAGCTGTGTAAATCAAAAATTTGGAAAGTGGCAGAAAAGTGTTAAGTGCCTGCAGTCTAAAGGAAAATTTAGATCTCATTTCATTTGCTTTTCATTTTATTTATTTATTTATTTTAATGTTTTATTTATTTCTAGGAGAGAGAGAGACAGCGCGAGCAGGGGAGAGTCAGAGAGAGAGGGAGTCACAGACTCAAACAGGCTCCAGGCTCTGAGCTGGCAGTCAGCACAGAGCCCGACGCGGGGCTCGAACCCACGAACCGCGAGATCATGACCTAAGCGAAAGTCGGACGCTTAACTGATTAAGCCACCCAGGCGCCCCTATTTATTTTTAAATATTTATTTATTTTTGAGAGACAGAGTGTGAGCCAGGGAGGGCAGAGAGGGAGACATAGAACTTGAAGCAGGCTGCAAGCTGTGAGCTGTCAGCACAGAGCCCAACGCGGGGCTTGAATCCACGGACCGTGAAATCATGACCTGAGCTGAAGTCAGATGCTTAACTGACTTGACTGAGCCACCCAGGTGCCCCAATTTGATTTTTAAAAGACCGTGTTCTACAAGAAACTGAAGTTAAACCACTGACCTCCCACTAGTCTGAGTGTAGACAGACAAGTCGCTTGTATGACCAGGTAGGCATGTAGCCCTGAAACGAACATTTGCGTGACTGCCAGGCGCAGCAAAGTTTACTATAGGCTTTTTGTCAAGTGTGAACACTGTTTTACAGAAGTATGTCTGGCTTCATCCTGGACCTAAATTTTTCCTCCTGATTTGATTTAGAATATTATAGACGATTCTGGAAAAAAGAAAGAACATGTTCAGAAATTTAATTTTGGACATGTGCAAGAAAATTTACTACTGGTACTTGTTCTAAATTTCTAGGTTTAAATTTTGCTGAGAATGTTACTATACTAATTGCCCTGAAAGATTTCTGTGCTTTACATATCTTATAAATCCACTTATTTTGATAATTATTCCTTGGGCAGGGGGAGGGGAAGAATGAAAAAGCCATGTAGTTCATTTTCTGCAATTTGAGCACTCACTTGGTCTCCCTAAATTTAGGGAGAGATTTAGCTGTAGCAGGAAGATTCAGCAAAATAGCTTTATGTTAGTAAGTCCTGGCCATATGAAGAGTTCTTAATTAAATGATCAGAGTTATTACCAGAGTGAGCCTATGCTCATTGTGTTGGGTGTTTGTGGTTTTTTTTTTTGCAAATATACAATTGGTTTAAAATGTTACAAGTCTGGTGCCACGTTTAGACTTTTTCTTGCCCTTGGTGTAGCTGTTCTTAAGAGGAATTGTTTTCTAACTAAATAGTCTTCTAAACAAAGAATAGAGAAGACAGAAGATCAAATCCATTATCAAAAGACCAAGCACAACATATGTTAGTGAAACTTCTAAATTTACAAGAGTAGGAATTTACCAAGTAAATTTGGAAAACCATATAATCTATTTCTTGAAAATAGAGATGTGAATAATTCAACCTGTCCAGTCTTTGATTCAGAGCTGTGTTCTTACGAAGCATTTCCTTCCTGGCATCTATCTTTTGCTCAAAAGTTACCGTAAGGACAAATGCTTTAACTTATAAGTGTATTAATCACTCCATGCCAGAGAATGTTCTAGGCATTTGGGGTCTAAATCTCTTCTTCTCGTAGAAAATTTATATTCTATAATCCAAATATCCTCATAAAATGTTTCTGTAAAAATGATGTGTAGTTACTTATTGACAATTCAAGATATTCCTACTTGATAGGCAATGTATAACTATCATAAAGGCTTTTCTATTTTAAGAGGATGTTTTATCTTGTTTGCTATAGTACAGAGTTTATATTGCTAATGTCTACAGGGCTGAATCTGTGAAGTTTTTCTAATGTCATTTATATACCTAAATCTAATGCTATATATGCATCTGAACTTATTCATAAAAGCCAAAACATAGCATTCATGATTATTGCCATTTCAGCCATTCACTTCTTGAATATCAAAGGGTTGAATCCCAAGTTGTGGATTTCCTACACTTGTTCTCAGCCTTTTAGTCATTGCACTGTTTGAAAAGGAAATTACTAGGAAGTTGTTGGAGACTAATCTTCTCATCTAAATCACTCTGGGTTTTAGGAGTGGCTGGTTGGTTCAGTTGAGCATCCGACTCTTGATTTCAGCTCAGGTCATGATCCCGTGGTTGTGGGATCAGTCCCTGTGTTGGACTTTGTGCTGAGTGTAGAACCTGCTTAGGATTCTCTATTTCTGTCTTTCTGTCTCTCTGCCCCTCTCCCCCACTCGCACTCTCAATAAAATAAAAATAAGTAAAATAAAATAAAGAGGTATGGAAAAATTATTATAAATAAATAAATAGCTAGCTCTGAAGTTTATTTCTAGACTTTATTCATACTGGCCATTTATGCTGGAAATCACTGTATCTTAGAGCTCTCTCAGATTTATAAAGTAAGTGTTTTCTTGAAATATTTTTAAAGTGTAATATTTTTAATAAACACTATACTTTTGAATATATGTACTTACACTTGATTCTTTAGTTTAAAAATATCCAAAAAAAAAAGTCTTTTAGTGTTTATTTTCAAGAGAGAGAAATGAACAAAGCATGAGCAGGAGAGGGGCAGAGAGAAAGGGAGGCTCCAGGCTCTGAACTGTCAGCACAGACCCCGACACGGGGTTCAGACCCACGAACCGTGAGATCATGACCTGAGCTGAAGTCAGACGCTTAACCTGCTGAGCCACCCAGGCGCCCCTAAAAAAAGCTTTTTTTGTATTAGCTAAGAAAGCTTTCAACCAACTTAATATGTTGTGTTTTGCTGGTTACAGTGTAGTTGGGGTGATTTAACTATTCCAATACAGAGATTCCTAGCAAATAAAATGTTTGCTCAAACTGAAGACACAGAGGTGGTTATCAGATTCCTGGTTAAAATCTAATATGTTAGAAAATACTTGGAATGCTGCCTTCTATCTGGTGTAGTTTTCAATATCAGAAACAAGTGAAAGCAAAAGTTGTGTGTTTAAGAGTGAACATTTTGTAGACTTTTATTTAGACTTTGGCTACTCAGGAGGTATTTGGTTTTCATTTGAAATTAAAAAGTATAATCAATAAAAATGAAAACTTTAAATCTTGCATTTGAATAAAGGTAAGCTATTTTATCTGTCTTCCTTGAATACACTTCTAGAGCTATATTTTGCAAAGTTTTCTCTTGCTAGGGAGAAAAAATGGAGACTAACTTTTTAATTCTATTGTATGGAATTGTATCATTTATGAACATTTCTTTTCACTTGTATTTGCTCATACCTGCAAAAGAGCATAAATCATAAAAGCATTAAAGTTAAAACTGTGAGGTGTTTGGAAAAATGAGGAATTCTAAAAGCAAGGCTGGCTGAGCAGCTCACTCTAGGAGGGAAGCTAATTGTAACTTTTACCCTTTAGAAAGTCACGTAATCTTTCTGGTCTTCATTGTTAAGGTCAATGCCTTTTGGCCAGTTCAGTGGAATATCGTTTTGAGTCAGGTTGAGGGAAGACTGATGCTTTACAGGATTTAGGAGTCAACCCTTTGGGAAATTCAAGGGCGTGGGCAGGAGTGGTGTCCTTCCCATTCTCAAGAGTTTTATCTGGTCCCTGAAGACTAGGTAACCGTAAAATTGGTTGGCAGTTTTGGTTAGTCATCATTAAAGGTAGATAGTTGATAGAATGTATAATAATAGTAGGTAGAAAGTATGAGAAAAGTATACATTGTTTTCCCCAACTCTACTTAATTATTGAGAAAACTTTTTTTTCTCACTTAAAAAAATCTTACTACCTTCTCCATTGACCTTAGCCCTGGCCCTTTTCATACTCATCCCCATATTGCCAGTTTTTGCTGAGTTTCCCCTTTACCTGAGCTGGTCCCTGTATGTTAGATACTTAGAAAGGTACGTCCTTAGCTCTTTTTATTTTTTTTAGAACACGTAGCTTTGTTATTTTTTCATGGAAAGTACTACTAAGAATACTTATCCCACAGAATAATAGAGTAACATCTTTGTATGTGAAAGGAAACACTTTTTTTAAAAAATGTAGTAGTTTATTAAATGGTAACTTAAAGGTTTAGCTCCAGATTTTATAAACCTGGTTACATGTCCAAACTGCCCCTAGAGATTCGAATTCAGAAGTAAGAGTGGGGCTCAATGTTCTCTTCTTTCAATAAATGTCCCAGGGTAACCGACACAGCCAGTCAAAAGCAAAGAAACTTCCCTAACATCCTATCAAAAAGTAAACGTGACACTGAGCAAAATAAAACCCTGGGTATTTTCGTTGTTAGAAAGCTAACCATGCTTTTCAGGATGATAGACTTTCAATCAAATTCTGTTTTATTTCAAAAATTCTTATACAGCAAAAATCTAGTAGCATTTTGTCATTTTCATGGGAAGAGCTTGGAAAAACTCTTTACATTCTGGGATTTGATACGTACTTTATGGCACCTTCATGAAATAGTAATTTAAGAGACAGAGCTTCTGGAGAACAGAGGGATGTTTCATGAGGAAGGCCACAGAGAAGCTTGAGATCCAGTTTAATTCAGGCCATGCCTGCCTGGAAATGGCAGGACTTCAACTGTGGGGATTGCCAGTCTCTTCATTATCTCTGCGGCTTGCAAATCGGCCTCTGTTCTGGAGAAGCTGCTCTCCATTAAAGCAACACTTGATATCATAAGTGTTTGCATTTGTTATGAGTAAGTACTCTCTTAACTTTTAAATGCTGTGTGTACAACTGCTTATTTTTCTTAATGCTTTTTATCAATCAGTAAATACCAATAATGTGCTTATTTTTGTAAAAGAGGTTAATCTACATAAAATGTGTTCTTTGACTAGTATGAAGTACTCCTTTGTGTACAAGATCACGATGATCCAGCCATTGATGTATGTAAGAAGCTTCTTGGAAAATATCCAAATGTTGATGCTAGATTGTTTATTGGTAGGTAACAAATAAATTCTACAATAACCCTTTTTGCTTTAATAGTATTAAGTATCAGTAATCCTTGCATTAAACTATATATTAGGCTGTTAGCCACCCATTGACTTTTTTAGCATGTTTGCTTTACGTGTGTTTGTTGGATTAGTGAAAGGTGTGTATAGCCTTTCAAGAGAATTTAAGTTATAAAAACACAGGTGTTTTTTTTTCCCCATGTCTGGAATTAACAAAATAACCAAAAAAAACCCAAATTATGTTTTTCTCTTTAATCAGACATGAGAGTCTGTTATTTTTGTTTCTTTACTGTTTTCCATCTGTGGGCCTTCCCAGATTTCATCACAGTAGTTGGGAGTGAGCGATCGGATTTACTTTTATTACACTGCAAAAAGAATATTTTTCAAAAGCCTGTAGGCTTACTCTAAAGACTTGTAGAGAGAGATTTGCCATTAAACATTGATTCATACTTACTATTGATGCAATAACTTAAGAATTAAACTGAAACTAATATATTTTCAAAGATAAATTAATTATCTTTTAAAGAACGAACACTTTTTTTCTAAGTATATTACAAATAATAAGGAATGTAAAACATGTTAAGTATGTTTGCTTCAGTTATTACATATGAAAGTACTTTTCGCTTCTCTCTACCATGTATCTGTATAATACTAAATATTTTCAATGTTGCATGAATCTTTCACAGTTGTACCTTTAAATTTTTAGGTGGCAAAAAGGTTGGCATTAATCCTAAAATTAATAATTTAATGCCAGGATATGAAGTTGCAAAGTATGATCTGATATGGATCTGTGATAGTGGAATAAGAGGTGAGCTGCTTTTTATTTGTTTTACAAACTATTCGTTTGATGATAAAATGGCAAAAGCATTCTAAAAATGCATGTATCCATCCTTTTTGTTTGCCTAATAAAGTAATGCATTTCATCATTATTTCATGGTAAAATGTCAAGTTACACTTAACTAAAATTTGGAATTTTTATTAATGCTAACCTAAAAGGTTACATCTATAAAATTGTTTTTGTTTTGGAGAGAAAATTCCAACTATTAAAAAAAATAGTCCTGGTCTATCATACAGTCCTTTATACAGGATTTTCATCGTTGTAAATTTTCCCATGTTCATGTAATAACTTGTCTTTCACTTTAATCTGTTTGTGGCACCGATACTGTCTCACACAAAGGGACAGAAATTAATAAGTGAATATTTTACCGAAATACAAACATGGCTTTGAGTTGATTTTAGGAGGAAGCCTTTTCTGTACTGAAATTATAATTTGCACGTTTGCGTTTTTAAACGTTTACATGCTAATTACCACAAGTCCCTCAACCGCAGCATTTGGGGCTGGGCAGTGATTTCTGGTTGAGGCTGCCCTTTGGGATGATTAGCGAGCCTCCCTGGCCTCTCCACACTAGATGCCCATGGCACCTCTCTCAGTGACAACCAAAAGTGTCCCTAGACATTGCTAAGTGTCCCCTCAGGGCAGGGCAGCGGTTGGGAACCACTGCTGTAGAATATATGTATGTAAGGCCCAAATACACTTTTATACAACAGGTTTTGTTCATAGCTTTTGTATTTTTGAAGGAAATAAAAATGTAAAGTGACTAAAAAGGTAGGAGGTGTTTGCTATTTGAAGAGGGGACGGTGATTTAAATTTTATTAGCTTGAAATGCAGATGTGAAAATTAATAGAAGTGTGACATGCCTAATTAATCAGGCTCATTATGAGTCTGTCAATGCATGGACAGAGATTATGTTCATTCTTCATGTTTGCTACCTTAAATTATTTTCTATCATACATTGGTTATGTTTTCAGAATATATGTGCGCCTCTCTGTCAAGTATACTCTCATTCAATTCCCATTAGCAGTTTAATGAGATAGGGTATCTCGGATCCAACAAGAACGGGGAGGCTCATTCCCTATAGTTAGAGAATGCAGGAAACCAGCATAAGGACTGAGGTCCTTTCAGCTCTGCTCCTGTATCTTATCCATGAGGAACACATTGTCCATATTCTAGTTTGGAGGTTCTGAAATAGGGGGAGTAACATTTTCAAGGTACATCCTGTCTCTGGTATATATTAGCCTGAACGTGTGTAGGGTAAATTAGCTTCTCATAAAGCACGCCTTTTTGAAATTGTGTGTTCTACTTAGAAAAGTGATTAAGAATGATTTATTAGATCCAGATGTAAAAAAGAACTTTATAACAGCTCACAGAGTACATTTCACATTGGTGGACATTTTACTAAAAACGATTTTTTTTTTCCTCTTCCCTCACCACCTGTTTGTCGTCTTGATTGCAGTAATCCCAGACACACTTACTGACATGGTTAACCAGATGACAGAGAAAGTGGGCCTGGTTCATGGGCTGCCCTATGTAGCAGACAGGCAGGGCTTTGCTGCCACTTTAGAACAGGTAAGTATGATTGTCATAAATAATATTGTCATATCCCTGATCTTCCAGAAACTTGAGATTATTCTGAAAGTTGGGGGATGAACTACATGAAGTTAACTGTAATTAAGTCTGTTTTCTTTTTTATTTATTTATTTATTTATTTATTATTTTTTTTTTACAAATAGTTTATTGTCAAATTAGTTTCCACATAACACCCAGTGCTCATCCCCAAAGTGCCCTCCTCCATGCCCATCCTCCCTCCCCCCCACATCCATCAGTCCTCAGTTTTTGTCAGCATTCAAGAGTCTCTCATGGTTTGCCTCTCTCCCTTTCCCCCACCATTTCCACCCTTCTTCTCCCCCTTGGTCCTCCGTCAAGTTCCTCCTAATCCTCCTATACGTGCACACATATGATATTTGTCCTTCTCTGCCTGACTTATTTCGCTCAGCATAACACCCTCAAGGTCCATCCATGTTGCTACACATGGCCAGATTTCATTCTTTCTCATTGCCATGTAGTATTCCATGGTATAGATAAACCACATCTTCTTGATCCATTTGTCCGTTGATGGACACTTAGGCTCTTTCCATGTTTTGGCTATTGTGGAGAGTGCTGCTATGAACTAATTAAGTCTGTTTTCAACTGCTGAGTACTGGCATCCTCAAGATGGGAGTAGCTGTTTTATTAGTGAAGAAATTCTTGGGCCCCTGAAATGACTCACAGCTGCACTCTGGCAGTGATTGGATGTGCACAGGAAACCTCTTGTGGTCCCATTACCAGCTGAACACACTATATATTCTGTTTCCTTCTGACCCTTGCTTTCAGTTCTAGGGTTCGGTTTTAGACTTAACCTAAAAACACATGGCATATAGTTATTTCAGAAATCTGATCTGAAAATAATCTTTTTTTAAAAAAAGATTTCAATCACTACACCCAAAGTGGGGCTCGAACTGACAACCCCAAGATCAAGAGTCACATGCTTTTCCAACTAAGCCAGCTGGGTACCCCAAGAATCTTTTTTAAAGATCAGAGTATTTCAAATACACAAAAAAAGGAAAATTGTTCATATAAGTTATTGTAAAATTCATTTGACTTCCTCTTAAAATGGATTTCTAAAAATTACTGGAGAGGGGCGCCTGGGTGGCTCAGTTAGTTAAGCTCAACTTCGGCTGAGGTCATGATCTCACAGTTCGTGGGTTCCAGCCCCACGTCAGGCTCTGTGCTGACAGCTAGCTCGGAGCCTGGAGCCTGCTTTGGTTTCTGTATCTCCCTCTCTCTCTGCCCCTTGCCTACTCACACCCTGTCTCTCTTTGTCTCAAAAATAAATAAACGTTGAAAAAAAATTTTTTTTAATTACTGGACAGATTTATTTTGTGGTTTCCTTTTTTTTCTCTTCACCCTATAATACAATGATACAAACTATAAATTGTCGAAAAATATAAGAAGCAAAAAAATAACAAGTCATAACCCTACCATTTAGAGGAAGTTTCTATTTTTTCCCTATGTACCTTTTTAAAAACAAGTTGAAGTGGTACTCTAAAAACAATTTGTATGTGATTTTTGTCACTTCATCAGCTTTTTTCCCAGTCATTAATGATTTTTAATATTTAATTTTTTTAAGTTTATTTATTTTGAGACAGAGACAGCACATGAGCAGGGGAGAGTCAGAGAGAGGAAGAGAGAGAATAAATCCCAAGCAGGCTCCACGCTGTGAGTGCAGAGCCCCATGCAGGGCTTGAACCTACAAACCATGAGATCATGACCTGGTGAAACCAAGAGTCAGACACTTAACTGACTGAGCCACCCAGGTGCCTCATTAATAATTTTTTTATAAAAGTGATTTTTATTGGCTGGATCATAGTCCGTCATCCTGTCCTACAACTGACTTAACCATTCCTGTCCTGTTAAACAGTTAGGAAGAATGTCTTCATGTCATAAGGGAAGGCAGATGGTTACAATCTTATAGACACATCAACTTGCTTTTAAGTGTATCTGCACTTGTATTATTTTGAATTGCAGTCTTGTGATTACTACAGATCTGAGGGGTAAAGGTACGTTGTGTGTGGAATTTAACCTTTGGCACTTTGAGCCATGACCTCTTAATATTGCCTGTGAATACATTTGTCCTATTGCAAGTCTTTATTTTTATTTTTATTTTATTTTTTTATTTTTTATTTTTTTCTTCTATTGCAAGTCTTTAAACATCAGAGTTTTTGTTTAGTAAGAGAAACTCTGAGTAGTTACTTTAAAATACACTACTTAAAAATTTTTTTTACGATTTATTTTTGAGAGTGAGAGAGTGTGCCGGGCCGGGGGGCGGGGGGGGGAAGGGCAGAGAGAGAAGGACAGTAGGCTCTGTACTGACAGCAGAGAGCCCGATGCAATGGCCCAGACTCAGGAACCATGAGATCATGACCGGATCAGAAGTGGGACGCTTACCCAACTAAGCCACCCAAGCACCCCTGAAATAAAATACTTCTTATTCTTATGTGCCATATCATACTTTTGTTTTACAAATATCCAGGTTGATTTATAATGGCAGTGGTAAGCATCTCCCAGATCACACAAATCAGTGACTTAGGTTAAATTTAATCCTTAAAGGCCCCTTTGCTGTACTTAGAGTGAATGGAAATAGAGGGATTGTTCCAGTCTGTAAAAAAATCCTGGGAGGGGGCGCCTGGGTGGCTTAGTCAGTAAAGCGTCCGACTTTCGCTTAGGTCATGATCTCGCGGTTCGTGGGTTCAAGCCCCGCGTCGGGCTCTGTGCTGACTGCCAGCTCAGAGCCTGGAGCCAATTTCAGAGTCTGTTTCTCCCTCTCTCTCTGACTCTCCCCTGCTCACACTGTCTCTCTCTTTCTCTCCTAGAAATAAATTAAAAAAAAAAAAAAAAATCCTGGGAGACGTAGTCCCTATCTCCACCTCATTCCTAAAGACTCACTTAATAACTGCTTAAGGAACTAGGATGTGCGCTTCTGGTCTTCGATG